TTAAAATACTTCAAATCCTGTTGCCAAAACTGCGGAATTAAATTTAATCTAGATACAAGAGGAGGAAAGATAAGTTCTAACTTCACTGCTCAACGTGTAGATGGAAGTGTTAGTCATTGTGTTGAAAATTGTGAGGCGTGGTGTGTGTATTGTAATTGTAGTGCAAGTTAAAAGGTATAAAGAAAAGATAGCTTAAGATAAATAGGGATACTATGAGTGATAAATATAAGAAAGGTCAGATTTATAAAATAGTAGATGTAGGATTTAACAAATGCTACATTGGAAGCACCACTGAAACATTAAGTCAAAGAATGACAAGGCATAGAGCGTATTATTTCAAATACTTAAGGGACAACAGAGATAGAGTTTATTTGACTTCATCTTTATTGTTTGATGAGTTTGGAGTAGAAAATTGTAAAATTGAATGGATTGAAGATTACCCGTGTAATAGTAAAAAGGAACTGGAAGCAAGAGAAGGCAAGCATCAAAAAGAAAATGACTGTGTAAATAAAATCATAGTAGGTAGAACAGTGCAAGAATACAGAGAAGACAATAAAGAAAAGATAAGTCAAAATGCTAAGATTTACAGGGTAAAACATAAAGAAGAGTTGAAACAATACAGAGAAGACAATGCCGAACATTTCAAGCAAAAAGCAAAAGAACGCTACAACGAAAAGAAAGAGGAAATTAACAAAAAACACAGAGAACATTATACACAAAACCTAGCAACCACCAAAGCAAGACATAAAAGAAACTACGAACTAAACAGAGAAAGAGTGCTGGCAAACCAAGCAATCAAAATCAACTGTGGATGTGGTGCTGTGTGTAGAAAAGGTGATAAAGCAAGAAACGAAAAATGTAAAAAAAAAAAAAAAAACATCAGGAATGGTTGAAGCAACAAGAACCTGAAATAGAACCACAGTTAGAAGAATTAGATTAAGATAATTTCTTGTTTATTTATATGACGACTAAACAAGAAATTATAGCAAATGTGTATTATGATAAATCAGGGTATGGCAGTAAAGCGCTTACTTTACAGGATGCTAAGAAAAAAAACCCAACAATTAAAATGGGTGATATAAATGAATTCTTTAGTAAAAACATTGAAGAGAAAAGAAAAATGAGAGGTGAAAATAGTTTTATTGCGCCACACGCATTCTGGGAATTCCAAGTTGATATGTTTTTCATTTCTAAAAATGATTTGGAAAATCAACCATTTAGAATTGGAATGATATGCATTGATATTTTTTAGCAAATATATGCACATAGTGCCTATCAAGTCAAAGCAACCGCCAGACATTTTAGCAGGGTTGATGGAGAACCTAAATAAAATGGGCGGGAAGTGTAAATTAATTTATACCGACGAGGAAGGCAGTTTTTTAATCAATCAGTATTAGATTATTTGAAGGAGGAGACAATTGAATTACATAGAACTAGAGGTCATCCAGCATTTGCGGAGCGTGGAATTCAGACTTTTAAAGATCAACTGTTTAAACGAGTTGAAGCGGACAAGAAAAATGGAAAGCAGAATATCCAATGGACGGATTATATTTTTGAAATATTATTAACTTACAATAATAAGAATATTCATTCCGCAACTAAAGTTACACCGAAGGACGCAAGAATGAAAAAGAATGAATTTGAAGTAAAAATGAATATTACAATGCAAGCAAAGAAAACTAGAATGTATCCAGAATTAGACGTAGGAAGTAATGTAAAAATAATGAGGAAGAAAGGCATAAGCGAAAAGGCACATACCAGTCATTGGATAAAAGAAGTATTTAAAGTAAAATCAATTGATAGTAAATTAGGGCAATCTTACTTTCATTTGGAAGGAAAAACTAATCCTTATTTGAGACACGAATTATTAAACGTTTAATATTAAACGAAATACAGTTAAAGAAAAAACGCCTTATAATATTAGTGAAATGTTGTTTAACTATAACAAGTGCGAATGCTGTAAATGCAAAATGAATGATTTGAGTTTAACCTTACATCATATACTACCAGCAAATGTATGTAATAAAATAAGTGAATATAATGTATACTGCAATCAATGCTGTATAACAAGAGACCTTGAACAGTTTTTTCTTGAAGAACATAAGGATAAGGGATATACAAAGTTTCAATTACAATTAAAAGTCTTTATGCGACACCAAGCAAGATGTCCTATACACTTTTACCAGAAGATTTCCAGAAAGTCATTTGAAAATGAAATTGATGAATTCTTTAGTAATATAGATTTAATTAGGAGGTTTGGAGGAACAAACGCAATTAAACCATATAAAGCGTTTGTCAAAAAATACCGTTATTTGTTTGAATGGATTGACTGGCATTTATTAGACAAAGATAAAATAAACGAAGTCTTGAACGAATTTAGAGCAACTAAATATAGTATATGGTATTACTACAACACTAAATATAAAGTATGTCTATTGTTGTATTTATTCTTTTGGGAATATATTTATTCAATAATAGGAAAAAACAATATCAAATATATAGACATTGGTGATATAGATAAATATGTAGATTACATATTTGAAGACATATTGCCTGACCATTATTTTAATTCATAAACCTTACAATAAAAAAACATTGTAAGATTTATGATTTCAAAATGACTTGAAGAAATAATAACTTAACATATTATAGTGAAATGAGTGATACAGTCGGTATCAATGCTAAAAATATATTGAAAAACAAGTTTATGAGTTATAAATGTAAAGACTGTGAAATGCTAAAAAATACCAATTGAACGGGGTTTTGTAATAATATTTGTCAATATATGATATGCAATAATTGCAATAGAATTATTAAAAAAAAATGATGATATGAATAACAAAGATATTGATATTATACATAATGAAACTCTTGATGATGATTTAGAAATATGTGTGTTTATTGAAATGAATAATTTCTTAACTATAGAAGGGTTTGATCATTTATTAGAATGTGACGACGAAGGATATAATAATGAATTTATTTTTAAATAATATTGTATGGTAAAAATATTATACAATATGTCTTTTAATATTAAACGTTTAAACTATGTTGTATTGTTTAATTTTTAAAATGAGTTTTTAAATGATGAGTATAGAATTGACGAACTTAGATATACAATAACACATGCAATTAGAACAATGGGGTTGTTTAGAACAAAAATAGGAAGTAATATTTATAATGAAACAACATGTGATAAAATAATAGAAAGACTTAAATTAATAATTTAGTTTTAGGCGAAATAGTCCTAAAGAAAAAACACCTTATATTAATAGTGAAGAAATGAACGGTATTGAAATCAATAAGTATATTAATAAGAAATGCTATGATTGTTGCCACTTTAAAAAAGAAAATATGGAATTGTATAAATTAAATTTACCTAATGGAATAATAAATAATATTATTGATTATTCAATGGATGAAGAAGACGAATGTAAAATTTGTCAGGAATGGAGAGATAATCAAACTTTAATCAAATGTTTGTTGAGAAAAAAAAAGAAGAAATAATAGAAACGTTGAAGATGAAATCTTGATATTTTTAACTGTGTATGAAAGACCACCTTATAGTTATGTTAGAGCATTTCTGAAAATCAGTAAGAACAAATATGAAATGATTGCAGGTATATTATGGATGTTGACTTATCATAAAAGGGAAGGGTTTGATGTAAAAGAAGACATTAAAACATATATTGAAAGAAAACAAGTTTAATGTCAAAAATACAGTGAGATATATTAATATTATTTTTAAAATGATGCATGAAAGAAGTAAGATATATATATATATATACAACTTAGTAGTCATCAATTAAATTATTATCCTGAACTTAAACTATAAATTAACCCATAAACCTTACAAAAAAAACAACATTGTAAGATTTATGTTTTGAAATTATGGGGATTTTATATTTTGGGATTTTGGAAAAATATATTTTGGGAATTTGGGATTTGTGTAAGATGGTTTTGACCTAAAGGGAAGTTAAGACACTATAGTAAGGATGGATGAACCTGAAAAAACAAAATGCACTTCATGTAGATGTAAAAAACTTCCTAGTCAATTAGTTGCTGGGAAAACTTGGTGCATAGTTTGTGCAGAAAGTTGGAAGAGGTATAGGGCAAAAAATCCAGAAAGAATTAAGGAGGTAAGCAAGAAATATGATGCTGAGCACCGCGAAGAAAAAAAGGCATATAATCAAAATGAAAAAGATTGTGAGGTTTGCGGTTGTAAAGTTAAAAACCCTAACTGGTCTAGACATTTGAAATGCAAAAAACATATTGATAATTTAAACCGCGATTTGTAAGGATGCTGGTAGAATTTTATGATATAACTTTATCATAAAGTTTTATATTTTGAAAAATATCTGTGAAAATTTGTGTAATAAGTTTGTGTGGCGGGACGATGTCTTAATTGAGGGGTGGTCTTTGGTAGGTACTAAGTGGTTAGCCATGCCACTGACAGGGTTATTTCCACTCGTGGGACTGATGAGTGGGTTATCACCGAGGTTACAACTTACTAAGTTGGCGAATCGAGCAATTCATCCCTGGTTTCTCATTCGATTGCCCAACCTATGTACCAACAAACAAACATGGTTTCAACCATGGCCTCATTTCGTGGTGCGAACAGATTTAGCAACCATCCACAGCGGCGTGGTCGCCCCTTGCTTTTTTGGCTTGTGTCCGCTTGGTTTCCTTTGACCATCCCCCCAAAAAAACAGCTGTGAGAAACGCGCAGCTAGTACATGGTGCAAAAGAACACGGTGGTATCTCGAACTGCCATTTGCTTTTCCGCCCCCTGAAAAAACTATGAGAACATCGTTCCAGTAGTGAAACCGATTCCCTTTAAAACCAACAGGGGACAGTAGGAGAAAAAAATAAAAAAACTTTTCAGCAACTTCAGCATTTGCGAATACGTCCCCCGAAAAAAAATTAAAATAAATAAAATGGGGAAGTAGGACCAGTCCCAGATACAAATTAAAAAATATATGTCGATCCAGTAGTCAAGTTCATTTCAGCACATGGAACTCGAAGCGACGCACACGCCAAGCCACGCTGAATTGGGTGCTGGCCCATTGGAGCTGCTCATCCAGACCGCAGACTTGGGTCGCCAGGGACCGGCCTCACGCGCCCCGCCCGGTGCCAGGGATGGAAAGCTGCCCAAGGACGCTATGCATTTACATATACATGTATATATACATACACATATGTACATATATATATATATATAGTCAGGCCCCCTCCCTTGCATGAACTACCTTTCCTTCTTTCTTCATAAAATGCCGGCAAAAACACTGATAGAAAAAAACATGTATGTATATGTCTAGATGCATGTGATGTGTGAGTACATAACTAAGGAAACATCGAAAAGCGTGACACAAGCCAGCAAATTTCTCACTGCCTGGATAAATGCATGAACAATAAATGAATACGACCATGTGTTGTATGTGAAGGTAAGCAAATCAAAACACCCACGCACAAATACACTATGTAAATAGTTAACTAATCAAGCCAATAAATTCATAAATCAACAGCACTGCACATAAGATTAATAAATAACACAATGAAAAACACAATCTGTCAATCAATACATGGAATCGATAAGTAGATAGAACAAGCACAATGAACCGAACCCATGTATATCTACATACATACATATAATTACATATATACATATATGTAAGCAAACAAACAAACTAACAAACAAACAACCAAACAAACAAACCAACTAACAACCAACCAAACAAACAAACACAAACAACCAAACACAAACAAACAAACAAACACAAACAAACCAACAAACAAACAAACAAACAAACAAACAACCAAACAAACACAAACAAACAAACAAACAAACAAACACAAACAAACAAACAAACTAACAAACAAACTAACTAACAAACAAGCAACCAAGCAAGCAAGCAAGCAAACAAACAAACACACAACCAATGTACATAAACAAACAACACATCAATCAAATGCATGCATGAATCAAAACAAGCCGATCAACAAGGCAACCATAAACAAACTACATACACGTACATCAGCAAACACATAACATCAACATGTATATGCATGTGTATATATATATACACATAACAAGCAACATGCCATAACTGACATCTCTCCCTCAACCCATGGGTGTGTTGTTGTCATGGTGGTGCCCGGCCGGGTTGTACAGGAAATCAACCATGGTGTTTGTCTTTTGTTGGTTCAGGGTCTTGCCAACTTTGTGACAAACCCGTAGGGTGAATCATCCACAGGGGTCTGAGGTGTGGCTTGCAGGAAGCTCTTCAGTGCAATTTGTTGCCCCGCAGGCCAGCTTTTTCTTGAAGCTGAACAATGCAACCTGCGAACAGCTTGGAGATCATATGGGTGTGCTTTGAGGGTATGGGTTGGTTTGCAGGGAGACCAACAGCCAAAAAAACAACCAGTTTGAGGGGTGCCCCATTTTTGACACATACCCCTATGGCCTGCCCCGAATCTTGCTTGTTCCGCCCCCTACAGGAGACTGATAAATGGAAATCAATACTACCATCCCACGCCAGAAGCAGGCTTTAACAGAAGATACCTGACTTTGATAGCCCCTAATAGCCTAAAAACAGTCTAAACCATGAGACCAGAATCATGTACCCCCGAAGTTATTAGAACAAACCATGGCCCCATGCGTATGAGGCTTAGTAAAGATTGCAACTTGTTGCAAACCCCAAAACGAGTCAAGCAGAACTTGCACCTCATGGAAGTTAGTCGAGCTACTAATTTTCCGACATTTACCCAAACACTCATTACTTGGTTGACTTTGGAAGGGGAGCCAAAAAATCAATGTTAGCGTTAAGTGGGGATTTCCCACCAAACCACAACAACAACCATGATTAAGTGCCCCGGTCTGGAGCAAGGGTTCCCTGTCTCCTGACAAGACATGACCCCTTGAGTAAACAAATTTGAACACCCAAACATGTGATGTTTGAAACCACCAAACAAGGAAAGTAATGTTGACCCCAGACTATAAACCCCTGCTTGATTAATGGGTCCCTTTCTCGCTTGGCAGAAAAGGTGACGCGTGCAAGGCTACGTGGCTGGCTCTCGCTGTTGAGTTTGTCGCCACTCATGGCTTTTTCATAGGCTGGATCGATGAGACTATGTCCATCGGGCTGATTTGCTCCCGGGTTCGCGCCGGGTTTAAACGAGTCCTCCACGGGCATGGCAAATCCTTTGTGCCATTGAAGAACATCAAATACTTCCACCCGATTGGGGTAGGGAGTCTTTCCGGCTTCTTTGGTGCTTACCGCCACCAGCACGCTCAGCACCTTTTCGCTATTTTGCTGCAGCTGTGCGATGCCGTTTCAGCTGTCTCTGGGCGCCCTAAGCCCAATCAGCATATCGTGGTCACTTGGCGGGGCTTCTCTTCGCGGGCCCTTGCTTCGTTTGACTGATCTGCTGTTGTCTTGTCGGCTTCCGAAGCATGTTATGCGCGTTCTCACGTCGCGAGCTCAGAGGTCCGGGCGGCTGAAGATTAATGGGTCCCTTTTTGGTGGTGATTCGTAACTTTTGGAGGGTAATCCGGGGTCAACAGCATCAGAACCCCGTGCACGCAATCGATTCGCGCCTGTGGACATGTCGGCATACTTGATGTTGTGCGCGATGCTCACCCTGCAGGGACGGTGTGCAGTTACAGCAACGAAAATTGGTCTGCATAAAACTACGCTAACGCTTGGAGGCAAAGTCTAAACATGATAAGGCGCGGGTCGCTCCTTAACTATTTGAGTACGAGAAAGCTGGTAATCATGATAAGACGGCCCAAATAGAGTCGTTGTCTCTCGGTTTCTTCTGTTTGGCAATGGAGGCGCAAACAGAGCAGGTTTCGCGAAGGCTGAATGAGCTGCTCTTGTGCCTGCATTATCACATAAAGAGTAGCTCCTATCGCGCCACGTTGCACTTTATCCTTTTGCCGCAAACAGAAAACCGGTCGAGGCAGTGATACTGTGGATGGACGAAATCCTGCACCAACTACGAGGCCCTGGAGGGATGATTCCCCGTTAAGCACCAACAAAAAGTGGTTCTTCATGGTTTCCAAGTGGTGCAGGATTTTGTCCATCCACCGTAGTCTACATGATTGTGCGTTCCTTGGAGGGAAAAAATAGGGAAGCAACGTTTTGGGTGTTATATACGAGCAAGACAAACCCGTAACTATTTGTTGCCTAAGTAATGCTGACCCCGCTTTCTTGAACCGGGGTCAAGCACAAGATCCGCTGAGATGAGCCACTCCATACTAATCAATCTAAAAAAACAGGGGCTCCGGAAATTGTGACGTGGAATCATGTTTGGCTCCATACCAACTGCCTTTGGCCAACGCTTCTGTGGGTGGGTACTCCATAGCTTCTGATTGTTGCGCCTTTTGAAGAATGCGAGCCTTCGCAAGAACTTCTGCACAAATTGGTACATGTCCCGAAAGTGGGGAACGACGGCCTTTCAACTAGCTGCATTGCTGAAGGGTGCTTTGGGTTGGCGTCCTTTTCAAACTGCTCCTGTTTGCAGATCTCGTTTCGCTTTGACATCTGACAATATTACTGGCAGTTCCACATCCAAAGCCGCAGCTTTCATTGGACTCATGCCTTCACTGCTACCCATCCGCTAACATGGAGCCGACAGGACGTCACTGGAAGCCCATTTTCGGGGCATCTGGTGGATTCCATGCTTGTGAGGGAAGAACCTCAAGGCTCAACTTCCCTCGGTTCCCTGTTTCCCAACATCTCCTAGGTCCTCCAGTAGAGAGGTTAGAATAAGTTGGTACCAACTTTTTTTTCCGTAGTCTATTTTTAGTAGGGGAACCCTCCCAACCAAAAAAGGGGCGAGAAAGGGCATCGCTGGCACTGGGGGACCTAGTCGGAAACCTAACCAATTGCGATTCCCATAGGCCTGAGGATTCCTTTCTTCCGGGTCCTGTGGGCTCTTTCCCTCTTTTCGGATTTCCTGGAATCCCGCTTGCCGCTTTTGTTGGTGCGGGTGTCCAACTAGGAGACCCCCGACCCTAAGAAAAAATGTATTCTTTTGTGCGTGATGTTCCTGTTGGTCTCCGTTAAAACCAATCTGAAAAGGGCAACCTCAAAGCATAAATAAATAAATATATATATGTATATATATATATATCCACGCCAACGGTTCGACTTTTGGGTGCGCCTGTTGTAGGGAACCCTTTGTTGTGGTGTGCGTTTCTAGAGCACCCCTTTTTTGCGTGGCTGTTGCTTTTCCCCCCAGGCTGCGAACCGCACCGCAAGCGCAGCCCGCCTGAAGCGCAGCAGCTGGGTGAGGTTCTCAGAGCTCAGAGTGGCCTCCGACATGTAGTCTTTCACGATGTGCTGGGCGGAGGCGAAAGGCGCAAGCCGCTTCGATCGTTTTCAGCACCACTTCGAAACGGCGAAGGGAAAAGTCGGAGAACACCAAAACAAAGGCCGGGGGCAGAGGGGGGAGGGGGGGGGGGGGCATTTTTTTTTTTCGCGGGCTCAGCGCCCGCCGGTCAGTTTGGCGCGGAGAAACTCGGATAAAACCAAAACCCAAGGCGGGGGGGGGGGCGCCGGGTTTCTGTCGGAATGAGAAGCCGGCAAAAGAAAAGGGCAAGTCCCAATTTGGGGAAGGGGGGGAGCTCGGTTTTTTTCCGGAAATTAGAGAAAAACAAAAGACAGGGGGAGGGCCTGCAAGTCCTTACATTGGGGAAGGGGGGCTCTGATTTTTCCAACACCACTTTTTTGGAGTGGGCGCTAAAGAGTCTCATATGCTTTTTGCGGGTCCAAATTGTGTGGAAACTAAAAGGATTTTGCGGGGAAATGCGTTGGCCTTCGAATCAGCATCCCGAAACTTGCCCCTGACCAAGAGGAACCGAAGTGGAAAACCAAAGGGATCTTCTGGAGACAAAGTTTGACCTCAGCAAAGCAAAAGGATACCAAACACCCTTCCTGCAGTAGAGAGGTTAGAATAAGGGTACCAACTTTGTTCTGTAGTCTACTTGAATAGGGGAACCCTCTGCCAAAAAAGGGGAGAGAAGGGCACCACTGAAAAAACCTATCACCTAGAGGGCTACTCCAACTTCAATCCAATTTGAGCTGGCACAAACCAAAAGCAGATTCCAGCCCCCCCGGAAAACGGATCCGAAGACCAGCCGTGCTTGTAAGAACACATGTATTTGGCTGTAGTTGAATAAGTCACCGGTATTGAGGAATCCCAAAATAAGGGAACCCCCATGGCTAGAACTGGTGGCTCGCAGGTCAAACGACGTCATGAGCCAAGCTGGGTGAAGTTGGGCCAAGCCACCGCCAAATATTTCGAACAGGTCTCCAAATGCCGGAGATTCGGGATTGCAGGGGAATCTGGCTGTGGCTCAAAAACATGTACCAAAATGGCACCCTTGACAAATGAAACCAAGACTAAAGCCTGCATAACCCTGGCTCTTTACTTTTGAGGCACACCCATCTGAGCCCAATCTCTACACACTGCTTCAAGGTGGATGCTGTAAAGGCTCCAGGTGACGGCAGTTTCTTTGAGCAATGTTTTGCCCACTTTCGATTGCGCAGTCAGAGCCCAAAGGTGGAAGCAGCAAACTGTGATGTTCTAGGGGTACCTACCCCATTCTTTCCAGGGATGGAAACCTCCGGAAATCCAGGGAAAAGGGATCCGGTTTTTGGAAAGAACGATGGTTGAAAAGAATGGGGAATCAACCCCTAGAGATGTGGGGATCGCCCAACCCCCCAAAAAAAAGAAAAAGAGCAAACAGAACAACAAAGAAGGACTAAGTGTCACTCGCGTCCTTGAAGGTCGCACACAGTCAACATACCACCAGGAATTGGACTGCAGGTTTAGTCCGCAGGTTTCCATTTACCAGGGCAACCCTTTTTGGGGTTACTCTGTTGTTGACAACCACACCCACATCTTCATTGAGGGTGAGTTGCATTTCAGTCCGCTCCCTTCATCTCCAACCGCTTCCGCTCAACGCAGATTTGTGAGGGATTCACAGGGGACAAAGGATCGAGCACTGCTTGGGGGTCGAAGAGGTCTGGCGATAAGCCCGGGCTTTTTTGTTCTCACTTCCTCAGTGGGCTGGCCAACAAAAATACCAACCTTTTGGCTGCCACCAAAAATGCTCAGTTGTTTTTGGGGGCAGGGTCAAACATTGGTCTTTTTGTTTTGGGGGGGTCGGATATGGGTTCTTAATCTGCGCAAGGGGTTCATTGGGAACTGGACATGAATCCAACTGATGGAATTTTGGGGATCCCGGCGCCACACGTCCAGTAAATGAACTTCCCGGACCGATGGCTTTACCATCGCCCTTTCTATGCACATGATCAAAAATCTAGAAGCAAAACACCAAGGGTCACAAAAGAAAGGAACACCATGGTTGTGGCGACTTTAGACCAAACCAGACTTGGAAACTCTCATTTTTCTGTTTCCCGTGAGGACTTGTTAGTTCTTTTTGTGTGGCCGCCGAGGGTCTACAAAGCCCATCTGCGCCGCGATGTTCATGATTAACAGCAGTGCCACGATACAGGAATCATAGGCACTCAGGATGGGCAGGCCGACGACCAGGCAGGAATCCTCAGATCACGGGAAGCCTTCCTGCCAGTAGCTGACTTGGCGTCCACCGAACTGGGATGAAGCTTCAGCTACCCAAGCCCGAGCCACTTTTTAGTTTGAACGCAAACATACCAAAAGCCCGAGCCTCACGGAGCTCCTATGGGAGATGGCTAGGCCATGGGATGTATCTGTTCTTGGGGAGCCCACCAATATGGTCGGTTCTTCCCTCTGGTCTCCCAGAAAAAAAGAAAAGAAAAAAACAACGAAAAACAGAAAGAACAACAACACAAACACAAGGTACCCTCAAAAAATCAGAGCCAGTTCGGTGCTTTTGGTGCGTCTGCGGTCAAATTAAAGAGTGCTTTGATTGGGTCGCCGAACCTTCCAGAGCCATATCATGGTTATTGCGTGTTGGTTTATGCTCCAGACCGAAAATTATGCAAGCAGCAAGGGTGCAGCGTGCTTGCCCTCAAGGCCCCATCGCAAACGGAAAACACACTCGAGGAGAGCGGAAAAAAAACAACACACTGCAAATTTCCTAAAGGACACCGAGAAGGAACAAAAACAGAAGAAAACAAACAAAATCAAGCCCTGGGGAGCAATGGCTGGCCAAGGGGACCTTCTGTCTGAGTTTGTTGCTTCTTCTTCTTTTTTGTGTTCGTGTGCTATTTGGTTCCTGGCAAATGACATGCCCCATGGCAAGCAGCAACAACAACTCGAACTCAACAAAAGCAAAGTCACCGCGAGCCCCTTCTGTCTCGGTACTCCAACAAAATTATCATTCAAAACATACAGTACTTGGAAAAGAGCTCCAAATCATCATCCCGATTTAATTCGAATCTTGCTTGAACACAAATTAACCCGAGTAAAACTATTTTTCAAACTAAGAATTCTAAGTTAATTCGAAATAAACATCCTAGTTAAACTTAAAGCCGTGCAATGTAAGCCTCCTTGCACGCCGATAGAGGTGGTATTGCGTTTCCTTGGGTTTCTATTGGGTTGTTCGCACCGTATAAGGGGCAGGCAAATTAGAAGAGACAACCAGCTTGCTGTTCCATAGTCACTATTTCGAATCTGATTGTATCCTAACGAAAATCCTACTGGGTAAAGCATATCAATTCAATTGTTCTACTTCAAAATTAAACAACTTTTTTAAACGCTAAGCATATTGAAGCTTGTAATTCAATAGACCTGAAATGACAAACACACATCACCAAAGCATGCCTACAACTTGCTCAAGAGTGCATCACGATAGCATCACCTGAAGAGATTGCAACAACGGATGCGTTTGCCCAAAACAAACATTGACAAACGCAAAGTAGAGCAACTGCAAACATCGCCACTCCTGGCCACAAGTAACCTCCCTTGATATTCACTTGAACCCGCCATTCAAACTCATTCTGCAAATCCATCTCCCCGTACCTCACATCGGCATTCAAACCACCTTAACAGCATGGCCCACCAATAAAACACCCTGAAACCTACCTTCAAAAACTACCACTTAAACCAGCTTTAAACACACCCTAAATGGTCCCTTCAAGACATCGCCCACCTTTAGAACAACCCTCAAACCTT